AGTCCTAAACCTAGCGACTTTCTTTCTTTCTTTCTCTCTCTGTCCCTCTCTTGCTCAAATAAATAAATAAGCAGAAAGGGAGGCACATAAATAAATAAATAAGTAAAATACTCAGAAAGGGGGACCACCAGATGGTGTAATGGTTGTGTCTGCAGAAGGGCAGGCAGGTGGCGTGGTAGTTAAGGGTGCTGGACTCCCACATGGCCAACCGTGGTCCAAGTCCCAAACCTAGCGGCTTTCTTTCTTTCTTTCTCTCTCTGTCCCTCTCTTGCTCAAATAAATAAATAAGCAGAAAGGGAGGCACATAAATAAATAAATAAGTAAAATACTCAGAAAGGGGGACCACCAGATGGTGTAATGGTTGTGTCACTGGACTCCTTTGTAATTGACCGCAGTTCAAGTCTCAGACCTGGCAGGTTAAAACTCATGCTGGGCATGTATGCATCCCAAACTCCTGAGAGAGGACTGGAGGAGAAGGGACTACAGCATGGTCATCCATGCTGGGGGCAGCGGGGGGAGTGAGGGGGGTGATTTCTTGCTTTCTGTTCTTTCTTTCTTTTTTTTTTTTTGGAGACCTTTTTGTTATAGGGCACATGTGCTCACCAGAAAGACAAAGACAGAAGGCAAGAAATAACCCCCCAGGGGGGATGGCCACGCTGCAATCCCTTTTCCTCCATTCTCCTCTTAGATTTTTGGCACACTCGCACACACATGCCTGGCGTGAGTCTAAGCCACCGGGTCCGGGACTCAAACTGCAGTCGACTATTTGGCAGTCCAGCGACATAGCCATTACACTAACTGTTGGTCCTGATTTCTTGCTCCCTGTTTCTCTGTCTCTTTCTGTCTCTCTGGCAAATGCACGCACCTTATAGCAAAAACCTCTCTTAAAAAAATGCAGAAAAGTTGGAAGAAAAGATATGCCATGAAAACACTAACATAGGATGAGTGGGAGTTGGAACTCGAATCATGGTTGGCCATGTAGGAGTGTCTGGTGCCTTAACTACCACACCCCCTGCTGGCCTCTCCTTTTATCTTTAATACTGCTTTTTTACATTAAAGTCTACTTTTCTGGTAATATAGTTAAACCAACTCCCACTCATCCTATGTTTTCTTTTCTTTCTGTGTGTGTCTCTCTCTCTGGTCAAATTAAAATAAATGAATAAATAAAATTAAATAATTCTTAAAAAAATACATATATAAATACATAAATAAATACATAAATAAATAAATAAATAAATAAATAAATAAAAGGAGTGCTAAAAGGCAGCATGGAGGTTAAGACTCTGGATCCCACACAAGGTCAGCTTCCCAGTTGGAGTCCTGGATCTGGGAGCTTGAAAACATGCTGGGTGCATGTACATGTGTGCCCAAAATCCTGAGTAGAGGAGAAGAGATTGTGACATGGCCATCCTCCCCAAGGGATGATTTCTCATAGTCCCTCTCCCTGTCTCTCTTTGTCAAGTACACATGCCCTATAACAAAAACTAAAAAGATAAATGGTTAATAGTTTATGGTGGGTTGGGCCAGCAGGTGGTGTGGTGGTTAAAGGCGCTGGATTCCCACGTGCCAGACTGTGGTTCGAGTACCAGATCTGGCATCTTCCTTTCTCTCTCTCTCTCGTCAAATTGAAATAAGCAAATGAATAAATAAAGTTAAGTAAAATAATTTTTTTTTGGAGCGGTTTTTGCTATAGGGCGCGTGCGCTCGCCAGACAGACAGAGAGAGACATAGAGACAGAAAGCAAGAAATCACCCCCCAGGGGGGGACGGTCACACAGCAATCCCTTCTCCTCTATTCTCTTCTCGGGATCTTGGGCACGCATGCACACGTGCCCGGCGTGAGTTTTAAGCCACCGAGTCCGGGACGCAAACTGCGGTCGACTACATGGGAGTCCAGCAACATAGCCATTACGCTAACTGCTGGTTCCCAAAATAATTATTTTTAAAAAATAGTTTATAGTGGGTCATGTCGTATTTTTGCATAGAAAAGTGTGGAAAAATATTTCATGACTTTCCTGATGACCTAAGATTAATAAAAGATTCAATCAAAAACATAAAATGGCAGCCAGCCTACGGCGAGGTGTTAGAACTGGATACAACATGGCTAACTGCACAGTTGAAGTCCCAGATCCTTGAGAAACACCAGCCATGTGTGTGCCTGTGCCAAAAATCCCAAGAGGAAGAAAATGAGAAGGGATTGCAGTGTGACTATTCCCCATGGAGGGTATTGTTTCACTCCCCCCGCACCCCCCCCACCCGAACACACATTCATAGCTAAGCTGCATCGTTCTTCTCCATTCTTTTATCAGGATTTTGGGCACATACACATACCCAAGGTGTTTTCCAAGTCACTGGGTCCGGCACTTGAACCACACAGTTGGCCACGTGGGACCCAGCCACCCTAACCTCTTCACCACCTGCTGGCCCTAAATGTGGCCCTATTAGTATATATATTCTTTTTGATTTTAGTTTGATAACCTGAGTTATCACTCATTAAAAAAATAAATTTTGTGCGTATGTGCATGAATTGGGTTGGCCCTATAGCCTAATGATTAAGGAAGCCGGGTCCCATATCACAGTTTGAATCCCAGCTCCAATCCATTGGGCATGTATGGGTGTGTCCTCCAAATCCCAATGGGATAGAGAAACAGAGGATAAGAGACTGTAGCATGACCACACTCCACTGGCGGGTGCTTTCTCCCTCTTCCTTTCTCTGTCTCTCTCTGGAAAGTACATGTGCCCTCTGGCAAAAAATAAATAAATAAAAAAGTTTAAGTACTTCATAAAGTAAAACCCATACTCTAATAGAGAAACAGACAAATCCACAACACCTATGAGAAATTTTACCAGATCTGACTTGTCACTCATCTGCTTAAAATCCTTCTCTTCCTCCTTGACTCAGACACAGCAGTTATTAGAGCCGAGTATGTCGTGTCCTTTGGGACTTGCATATCTCACAGTCTAGTCTCTGACTCCCCACCTGGCTGATGCATCAGGAGCTCCTGTGAACTGCTGACACCACTGGGTATGCCCCAGATCCCCAGCATATTCAGATGGCACAAGTGTCCTCCTTGGGCACCAGCCTGTATCCCTCTGGCCTCTTCAATGTTCTTAGGCACAGAGCAGGTGGACTGGCCCTGCAGGCTTATATTCATGCACACACATATTGCACACACAAGTCTCCCCACCCCCACATACATTCTTCCAAGCTAAATCCCAAATCTGGGCTAGGACCCAGTGTGCTTGCCCACTGATGCCTCCTGGTAGCCCCACAGTGCTGAACAGAAGAGTGAGATGGAGTGCACTGAGCTCTAGGTCCCCAGACCAAAAGGAAGCCTCTGAGGGCAACTATGCTGACTGTGGCACCCAGGGACCCTGACCTGGACTGTCTGGTGGAGGTGGACGGCCACCACCTTCTTCATGCAGTCTTTAATCATCTGGGAGGTGAAGAAGTTGGCCTCGCCCTTCTTGTCCACGGCGATTTTGCGGTAGTCTTCCAGCAGGATGGGGCAGATGGCCTGCGTGGGGTGGGTCATGTAGATGGGCCCATCATAGCCCACCATCTCGCTGAAGTAGGGGAGCGCCCCACAGTGGTCCAGGTGGAAGTGGCTAGAGGGACATGACATGAGTCAGCCAAAGACCACCTCTCCCCAACCACTCCACTTATTTACTCACTGAGTGCCTGTGTGTCAGACACCATCCTCAATACTGAAGAGTCAGGAATGAGCAAGGCACAAAAACCACTCTCTGCCTAGAATTTACAGTGCAATAGTCTGACAAGGCAATAAGCAAATAAACAAAATGCTGTCAGACAGCAACATGCTTGTAAAGAAATGCAAAACACCTAAAATAGCAATAGAGCATTGTGAGAAGTGAACTGCTGTCATTGGAGTGTGGTCAGGAGACTTGTAACATGACCTGAGGCAGGAAGGAGGTGGAACAGCAGTGCCCAGTCCAATGGTAGGTAGGTGCTATGTCCCAGAAAGAAACCAGAACCACAAGGCAGATCAGGACGCTACTTCCAGAAATGGAAGGATCCAGGCTTAATGGATCCCTCTAGCTGCTGGACAGAGGAGATAGAGAACCAGTGGTCGATGCTGTGGTCATCTGGGAGAGATCACCCAGGCCAGGTGGTACAGTGGGGGCCACAAGAGGAGCTGAACCCTGGAAATATTTGCAGTTTGTCTGAATGGAACATGAGGGTGAGAAATAAGGGAAGAAAACGAGAAAGGTGGCAGGCAGTATCTGGAGCTCCACTCAGCCCTGCCGGGCTGGAGGTGACAAGTGGCTGACTGTGAACCTAGAGGTCAGGGTCACGACCAATTCAGATATCTGAAGTCACCAGTAGACAGTGAAAAGTTCCTGAGACAATGAAGGCACAGGACAGGAGGAGGCAGAATCTGAAAGCCAGTGAGGATCAAGGAGCAGTAGGAGGGGGCAGTCACTGTTGCCGAACATTGGGAGGCTGAGTAAGAGGAGCCTAGAGAAACATCTCTGGGTTCATTTGGTGAAACTGAGCATCTGTACACCAAAGCGGGTGACCTAAGCACCCACCATGGCCCTGGCTGCCCTGGGAGAGCCTCTGCTTCCTGAGCTACCTGATAGTTTCTTATCCATAACTTGGGGGTATGGCCAATAGGTACACCTGACACAAAGTGCCACCTGGTTCCAAGAGGCTGCCCATCACCCTGAGGGATGGGCCACACAGGCAGCCTGTGAACAGAACCACATGATCTGATGGGCAACATCTATGGCCCCCCTCCTCAACGGGCACCTACCTGATGATCACACAGTCCAAAAAATCAGTCAGCCGGCCATTCTGGGTGATATAGGAAAAGTCAGGGAAGCGTCTCTGCAGAGAAGCCATGAGAAAGGGTACATCAGGTTGCCCCTGGTCTCCAAGCAGCAGCAGGAACACCCAGCACCCACAAGGAGTAACAGGGGACTGTCAGGGCACAGACTTGAGGCTAGGCTGGGCACCCCTATTCTGGTGCCACTATGCTACAGCAGGACTGCTGGCTGCTCACAGGCTCCTGCTGGCTGAGGTTATCACTGGCTGAGGTTATCGCTGACCTCACTAACCAGTACTTGAGCTGGAATCTGAGCCCAACCTACAGGACCCTGGAGGGACCAGAGGACCCAGCTCCAGTAGAGATGAAGCCTTTACCCAAGGATCTGCCTCAGCCTGGCCCTACCTGTCAAGTGATGGTGGAGTGGTCACCCAGGAATACCATAGTCCCAAGCCCACCTGCTCCCTATTCTGCACAGGATGCAAGCTGTCCACTTGCCCCGTTTGTTTCCCACTCCAAGGCCCGGTCTTCTGCTTCTGTTACAAGGAACAGGCTTGGTGGTGGGCCCTCCCTGCCCTCTGGACCACTCGCCCACACGACTCACGTCGTCGTTGAAGCCCATGTGCATCCCGCAATCCAGCATGACGTTCTTCCCCGCAATGGAGACCAGGATGCAGCTGCGGCCCACATCCTGGCCGGCCCCTACTCGAAGAAAGCGCAGATGAGAGGCGTTCCCATGTGCCTTCTCCCTCCCTCGCCACTGCAAGAGCTGCCTGGTCCAGCCTCACAGGAGCTCAGCCTCAGAGGAACTGGGGCTGGGGTGCACAGCGGTGAAGAATTCGCTGTCTGCAGGTTCCGAGAAAGGGCCGACCCTCCTGCCCCCCTTGAGGATCCCTCTGAGGGTGTAACAGGCTTTGCTCTAAAGCTGCGCGAGGAGGGCGACCCCGACTCACCTAAGGGCGTCACTCTGATCTCAGGCATCGTCCCGGCCGCGCTCAGTCTGCGAGCAAATCCCGGACTCTTGTCAGTCCCGCGAGCCTTACGTGAGTCAACGCACTGAGCATGCGCAACTGCAACTGAGCCAGCTTCCGTTCTGCTAGCCGGAAACACGGGCCAGCAGTTGGGCCTCCTGATTGGGCGAACAACAGCCAATCCGGGATGTGGGGCGGGGCTATGGGATGGAGTAGGGGCGGAGACTAATCCAACCGAACCTGCCGGGTCTGAAGATTGCCGGAGTCCAGAGCGGGCCGAACTGTGGCTTAGGTCAGCCCTGTCACCACCACAACTCCGGGGCTCTGCTCGGAGTCGCTCTCCCTGGGCCTCTCACCTGGAGCCAGGACCTACCCAGGACCAGGGCCCCACCCAGCACAGTTCCATCCGGAACTCTCTTCCCAGGTGAGATGTTCGGGATACCCGGACTGGACCTCCTCCCATCTGCAAGGCCCGAGTGCCAGGGACCGGGCTCTTTCCTGCCCAACCTCCCTGCCCCCCTTGAGGATCCCTCTGAGGGGGTGTAACAGGCTTTGCTCTAAAGCTGCGCGAGGAGGGCGACCCCGACTCACCTAAGGGCGTCACTCTGATCTCAGGCATCGTCCCGGCCGCGCTCAGTCTGCGAGCAAATCCCGGACTCTTGTCAGTCCCGCGAGCCTTACGTGAGTCAACGCACTGAGCATGCGCAACTGCAACTGAGCCAGCTTCCGTTCTGCTAGCCGGAAACACGGGCCAGCAGTTGGGCCTCCTGATTGGGCGAACAACAGCCAATCCGGGATGTGGGGCGGGGCTATGGGATGGAGTAGGGGCGGAGACTAATCCAACCGAACCTGCCGGGTCTGAAGATTGCCGGAGTCCAGAGCGGGCCGAACTGTGGCTTAGGTCAGCCCTGTCACCACCACAACTCCGGGGCTCTGCTCGGAGTCGCTCTCCCTGGGCCTCTCACCTGGAGCCAGGACCTACCCAGGACCAGGGCCCCACCCAGCACAGTTCCATCCGGAACTCTCTTCCCAGGTGAGATGTTCGGGATACCCGGACTGGACCTCCTCCCATCTGCAAGGCCCGAGTGCCAGGGACCGGGCTCTTTCCTGCCCAACCTCCAACCTACTGTCAGCTACAGAATTCGTGCTCTCAGGCGCCTTCCTTCCCAGCCCTGACCTAGGGAAGGTCTTAAAGGTGCCCTGCATCATACTCCTGGAACTGGCCAGCTGCCCTCTCGGCTACACGGCCACTCCCTTCCTGTTGTTGCATTTCTGAGAGGTTCCTGGCAGCTCCTTTGTGGCCGCTGGCTTGGGCTTAGAGTAGGAGGACCATGCCTGCAAGATATTTGTGGCCAATAAGAGAGCGGTGGGGGCCTCAAGCTAAGGCCCTTGAGACACAGAACACAAGCCCATAGAGACAGGCAAGGGTGTACCTGAAGTATAAGGGGTACTATCTTCCTGAAACCCAGGCACAGCTGGCCTTCACCCGAAGACATGGTGAGTTCTCTGGAGGCTCTGCCTAGTGCCAAGAATGCAACCTAACCTGTGGGGCCTGCAGGGCCTCAACACCGACTGGGCCTCACTGAAGCTCTGGCAGCCTGAGCTGTGGGAAGGACAGGAATATAATCTATTTTCCCTAGAGATGAAGGATTGAGTCTGGGAGCAGTGAGCAATCCACCCACTGAGTGGGAAGCAGGCCCCAAGTAGACCCCACCTACTCAGGTGGCACAAGTGTCTTCCTGGGGTACCAGCTGTTCCCCCTCTGGCATCTTCAGCCCTCTCAGGCACAGAACAGGTAGGCACAAAGGCCCTGTGTGCTTGTGCACATGCATACACATAATGTATACACACACACACACACACACTCCATGTACACTTTCCCAAGCTGAATCCCAAATCTGGGCTGGGACCCAGTATGCTTGCCCACTGCTGACTCTTGGTAGTTCCTGTAGTGCTGGACAGAAGAGTGAGATGGAGTGGGCTGAGTTCTAGGCCCTGGGCCAAAAGGAAGACTTTGAGAACAGGTGCCCTGCTTCCTGTCTAAGGCCCTTGAGACACCCTGAACCACTTCCAGGAGATTCTCTGGGGTTGGGAGGAGGGCCTTGTGGCAGTCTTCTGAGTATGGTGAGACCTTTGGCCCAGCCAGCCTTCTGTGTGTGGTGCATGTACAACTTTAGCAAGAAGAGTGGAAAAACTAGCGTCTGTCCCTCCAACATTGACCCTATAGCTGCTGGTCTGGGTTTGGAGATTCAAGTAGTAAGCAAGGAAGGGGGAGAGTAGCCATGCAGGCCACCCTGGCTCCCAGGCCACCTTCTCTGTCCTCCCAACATGCTCCCCTATCTGCATGTTTTCACATCTCCTCCTTACCTGCTATCACAGAATGTCATGTCTTTGTTCTCATCTGTGTCCCCCCCGCAGATAAGCAGGACTGTTTTTCTTACTCATGGGCCTCCTAGGTGCCTAGAACAACACTTCATTTTTGGTAGGGGTTCAACTAGCAAAAACATACCGCCGAGGGGGTCTTTCATAGACAGGTCACGGACTGACCTCAGTCAGGCCTGAGTGACAAGGAGGGACCATGTGGGTGCATGTGCCAGGCAAGAGACAAAACAAGGTCAAGTTGGTGTGTCTGAGAGCTTGTGGTTCTGTTTGGGGCAGAGCCAGATGGCTGCTGAGGGAGGGATAGCACATTATCACGGGCTTTCAGTGGGCAGCAAGTAGCAGAATCCCAGCTTTTTCTTTTTAACTATTTCCTATCCCTAAACTAAATGAGCCATGGAATACACTGATCCATAGCCAAACAGACCACTGGCCACACTCTGTTTCAGCTTATATCAAAGAATGGATGATCTGGGGACGGATTTCAATCTGAAAGTTGTCCTGGTCAGCTTCAAGCAGTGTCTCAATGAGAAGGAAGAGGTGCTGTTGGACCACTACATTGCCAGCTGGAAGGGTCTGGTCAGGTGCGTGCTTGGAGGCTGTTTCCCCTGCAGAAGAACCACCCCGAAGGTGGGGACTTCCCCAGCCAGAGTTCCAGAGGCAGTATCTGCATCCTGCCTGGCCCTGTGAGCACCAAGCTCCTACCTACCCTAAGAGAACAGAGGGAGGGACAAGCAGTTAGCGTAATGACTGTGTTGCTGGACTCCATGTAATTGACTGTGGTTCGAGTCCTGGACCCGATGGCTTAAGCTCATGCTGGACACGTGTATGTGCGTGCCCAAGATCCCAAGAGGAGAATGGAGGAGTAGGGATTGCAGCGTGGCCATTCCCCCTGGGGGGTGATGTCTCTGTCTCTATCTTTCTGGTGAGCGCACACGCCCTATCGCAAAAGCTTTTCAATAAAAATAAATAAATAAAAAAGAGAACAGAGAAGGTCAGCTGACAGGGTGTTCTCACCCAGCCTTCCTGCCCCTGCCTCCAGGAGGCTCTGGGAAGTGCTCCCTGTACCCTAAGACCTCAGTGGGAACTCAGGCTCCCGCTTCCTCTTGCACAGGTTTCTGAACAGCCTGGGCACCATCTTCTCGTTCATCTCCAAGGATGTGGTTTCAAAGCTTCAGATCATGGAGCGTCTGCGAAGCAGCCCTCAGGGTGAACACTACAACAGTCTGCAATCCATGGTGGCCTACGAGGTGGGGAACCAGCTGGTGGATATGGGGCGCCGCTCCCAATACAGTGACTCAGGCTGCCGGACAGTGCTGCGCTTGCACCGTGCCCTGCGCTGGCTGCAACTGTTCCTGGAGAGCCTGCGCACAAGCCCTGAGGATGCACGCACTTCAGTGCTCTGCACTGACTCTTACAATGCCTCACTGGCCACCTACCACCCCTGGATCGTACGCCGGGCTGTCACTGTGGCCTTCTGTGCCCTGCCCTCACGCAAGGTCTTCCTCGAGGCCATGAAAGTGGGGACCCCTGAGCAGGCCGTGGAGATGCTGGGTGAAGCCCTGCCCTTCATAGAACACGTGTATGATATCTCCCAAAAGCTCTATGCTGAGCATTCCCTGTTGGACCTGCCCTAGTAGCTGTGGGTTCAGGGAGCCCGGGGCCCATCAATTCCATAACAGAGCTTTGTGGGTGCCCCAAGAACCAGAGATTCATCATCATCCCTGTGAACTGAGTTTGTTGGGAACCACAGGCTGTGACAGACGGCAGTGGCCAGCCCAGGAGAAGCAGGCACTAGCCGTCTGCTCATGCTAGTCCTCTCAGTCCAGGATGAGATGCCTCTTAGCCACAGCTTTACCCTCAGCCTCAACTGCACGTGTTTAAGTCAGACCTCACCAAAGCATGGAAAGTGGAGAAGATGGGGAATAGGACTGATGTGTATACACAGCTTGACAGGTTGCCTCCACCCACCCGTGAACTGAATCTGAACAACGGGGTGAGTTCACAGGTCCCTGGGCTGAAGAGACTGTATACTCCTTAACATCCAGTTTGCCCAGCCGGTGCTTGTCTTTCCCACGCTCATCTCAGGCCCAGGCTCAGGTCACAGCAGGGATGCGGTGCCTCGGTCTCCTTCATACCCTACTAGATACCAGGGCAGAGAGAGAAGCCTTGACCAGTAGTCTGGGCATTACAGGCTCTTTCACCTCCCCTCACCACCTAATTAGCCACTCATCCTTGACAGCTGAAGCCCTGAGTCAAGGCTTTCTCCAAAATGCCCCAAAAAGACCTGCCTTGCTGTTAGGAGAGCCTCCTCCATAGTCCCTACATGTCATCGGCTCCCTTATGGACAGAGTATGCTGCCTCTCACAGGGGTGATATCACCCAGGCACCCCCTAAGTATTTCCCAGTGGGTTTGCACAGCGACTTCACTGGGCCAAGCCAGCCCTTTCCTTCCTAGCACCCAGCAAGTTGCTGCATTACTTCTCCCTGTCCCTGGCTTCCCCTATGCCCATGATACACTCAGGAGATCCAGGGTAGACGTGGCATTGGCAGGGTGCGGGACCCCACCGCCTAGCTGACAGGCCCTCAGATGACTGTGCCCACTGGATCATCCAGTGGAGAGGGGCCTGGCCTCTCCCACTGGCTCTTCACAACAGGACCTTGAGATGCCAGGAGGGCAGCATGCACAGGGTGGCAAATTTGGAAGCTTTGGGGGATATAGTTAGACACTAAAATGTGACGTTTTTCTGATGTAAATAAATCACACTTGTGGGACCAGGTATAGCATTCCAGTGTAGAGATATTGGGGTATACTGGATATCTGATTACTCAGGGGGAAGAACACGGTGAGTATCTAGGGAGGGAAGGGCTTGACCTGAAACAGGGCTAAGGTGGTTTCTCCCTGACCACAGAACTGAGGCCCTGCAATCAAGTGCAAAAGGCAGTGTCAGCTGCGTGGGCATGAGGCAAACCCCAGACAGGTAGCAGCATTTGGGGAGGTGATGCTGCACCCCTGCACCCCTGGAGGGCTTTAGCTTGGTTGCATCCCACAGAGAGGTTCATGGTATTTTTGTTTGTTTTTTAATTTTTGCTATAGGGCAGGACAAACAGTTGGCGTAATGGCTATGTTGCTGGACTCACATGTAGCTGACCGTGGTTTGAATCCCAGACCTGGTGTCTTAAACTCACACTGGGCGCATGTGCGTGTGTGCCCAAGATCCCAAGAGGAGAATGGAGGAGAAGAGATTGCGCCGTGGCCATCCCCTGTGAAGGGGGTGATTTCTCGTTTTCTGTCTCTGTCTCTGTCTCTGTCTTCCTGGCAAGCACACATGCTCTATAGCAAAAACCTCTCAAAAAAAAAAAAGTTTTTGCTATAGGGCCCGTGCACTTGCTGGAGGGAGAGAGAGGGGGGGAGGAAGCGATAAATCACCCCCTGGGGGGATGGCCATGCCACAATCCCGTCTCCAATCTCCTCTTGGGATTTTGGGCACTCACAGAAACGTGCCCGGTGTGATTTTTCAAGATGATTGGTCTGGGACTCAAACTGTGAGGTCAGCCATGTGGGATTCAGCCACCTTAACCTCACCACCTACTGACCCAAGGTCCACATTTTTATACCCATTTTACAGATGAGAAAACAAATGCAGACACTCAAACTTACTCACCCTTAAGGGGCTGGGCTGGAAGGCCCATGTCTGAGACTGACTGTGCAGTGGAGAAGAGAGGCCAGCCCGGGTATGGCTGCTGGAGGGTGGGCGCTGCCCTGTGGCATGACAGCAGCCTGGACAGAAAAGGACACATGCTGAGCAGGGTCCTCTCAGGCTCTGCACCCCAACCTCAGGTGCTACTGAGGCTGCGCACCCTGCCCAGCTCTGCCCCACACCTATCAGGCCCCAGGGCCCCATGTGATCTCAGCAACAGCCAATGACTGTGAGAGACTGGCCTGGAAGAATAACCTGGGGTCCACAGACAGAGAGCAATGGCTGTGAGTGTGAGTTTGTATGCATGGACATGTGCGTGTGTTTCTTAGCCTCCTTCACAGGACTGTGAGGAAAAAGGCAAAGGCCAGGCTCCAGCTCCTAGTAGACACCTGCATCTGCTGAGTCCCTGCCCCGGCAGAAACTAAGAGCTCCCCCTACTCCTCCTCTCGGCACATAAGTCCTGCTATATACCTTCACTTGCGGTACCCGGTGTGTCAGCAAGTGCTCCCCCAGGCCTAGAAGCAAGCAGAGGCTAAGCAGGGACTGTCTGGCCCCACTCTTCAGGGCTGTCCCCCCTTCCTTACTACATGTACACAACAGGTGCTGACCCAGTTGCACCAAACCATTTGGTTACAGCCTTTCCTCTATCATTTGCATGGGACTTCCTCCTTCAGGCCCAGCTGAGAGCTCTGTCCCTACATGCACCTGCTTCTGGTGTGCCCAGAGTGCCCAGGCTGGAGTCAGCCACTGTGGGCACAGCTACCGTCAGAATTCCCACAGCTTCCAGAGATCTGTCAGAGTTGAGACTTTCAAGGGACACAGTTTCTAGGCAGCCTAGGCATAATGAAGGGCCATAGGCCCCACCCCAGGTCTCTCCCTGGCCGGTGCTGGAAAGTGGCGTCTGTACTTACAAGAAGCCCTTCCACCCCCACCCGGTACACTGGGACCTTCAGATCCCTCCAGACCCCTCTCACAAGCAGCTGGGTTCCTAGGGCCCCAGACACTCCTCCCCTCCTCTTCTCCTTCATTTCTGGGTGGCTCCAGGAATGGGGGCTGGGGAGGGGTACAGTGTGCCAAGGACCTTGGGTACAGACAAGTAACAAGGTCATGATCAGTGGATGCTCAGAGCCTGCCTTCTGGATCACTGTTGAACAGAGACCCTGATGGTGGTATCACGATGAGAGTCCAGAGTGCAAAAAACATTAGAGCTTTGAGAAAGCAAGGGTGTTGCCAGGGGCCCCAGGGGGCTTAGCAGGTGAGCATGGCAAGGGTTTTGCTAACCAAATCCTCTGCTCCCTCCCTCTATACGCACTATATCTGGAGCTCCTCATCAGCACACCCACTTGCCATCCTTGCTGAAAGCTACCACTCACCATGCCAGGCTCCACTGCTGTGGGCCTCGGGCTCATAGCTCTCTTGGGCTTTGGGATGGGGGCCCCACTGTGCCTGTCAAGGCAACTCAAGATGCAAGGGAACTACATGCTGGGTGGGCTCTTTCCCCTGGCTTCAGTGGAGGAGGATGACCCCTGCAACAGGACACAGCTCAATAGCACAGTGTGCACCAGGTACGGAGGTAGGGCTAGCCCAGGGGCAGGGTGCAGGGTGACCAGGCTGGGCGTCCACCCACAGCCCCTTGTGGCCACAGGTTCTCATCCTTTGGCCTGCTCTGGGCACTCGCTGTGAAGATGGCCGTGGAGGAGATCAACAACCAGTCTACCCTGCTGCCTGGGCTGAGCCTGGGCTATGACTTCTTTGACACATGCTCAGAGCCTGTGGTGGCCATGAAGCCTAGCCTTCTGTTCCTGACTGAGACAGGCAGCCGCAACATTTCTGCCTACTGCAACTATGCACAGTACCAACCACGTGTGCTGGCTGTCATTGGGCCCCACTCCTCAGAGCTCGCCCTTGTCACGGGCAAGTTCTTTGGCTTCTTCCTCATGCCCCAGGTGGGCCCCAACCTCCTCCCATAACCCCACCCCCACCCAGGCCTGCCATGGAGCCCCCATATCAGGAGACACCTCCCGGCCATCACAGGTCAGCTACGGCGCCAGCATGGACCGGCTGAGCAACCGAGAGACATTCCCGTCCTTCTTCCGCACTGTGTCCAGTGACCGTGTGCAGCTGACAGCCACTGTGGAGCTGCTACAGGCATTGGAATGGAACTGGGTGGCTGCTGTGGGAAGCGATGATGAGTATGGCCGGCAGGGTCTGAGTGTCTTCTCAAGCCTGGCCAATGCACGAAACATCTGCATCGCTCACGAGGGCCTGTTGCCGCTGCCTTGTGCAGATGGCTTGCAGCCAAGCAAGGTGCAGGACTTGCTGTACCAGGTGAACCAGAGCAACGTGCAGGTAGTGGTACTGTTCGCCTCCGCCCGTGCTGCCCACTTCTTCTTCAGACACAGCATCCACCTAGGGCTCTCACCCAAGGTGTGGGTGGCTAGCGAGGCCTGGCTGACCTCAGACCTGGTCAGGGAGCTGCCTGGCATAGACCAGGTAGGTACTGTGCTTGGCTTTCTGCAGCAGGGTGCCCCACTGCCCCAGTTCTCCCACTATGTGGAGACCTGCTTGTCCCTGGCGGCCGACCCAGCCTTCTGTGCCTCGCTGAAGGCTAAGAACCTGAGCCTGGAGGAGCACGTCGTGGGGCCACGCTGCCCTCAGTGTGACCACATCACGCTTCAGAACCTGTCATCTGGGCTGCAGCACCACCAGACCTTCGCAGCCTATGCAGCTGTGTACAGTGTAGCCCAGGCCCTTCACAACACCCTGCAGTGCAATGCCTCGCGCTGCCCAGCAGAGAAGTCTGTGCAGCCCTGGCAGGTGAGGATGGGGCAGTGGGTCTGTGCTGGCCCTTGGCCATATGTTGGGCTCCCGGGCAGGGCCAAGGCCTGCCTCAGAGGCAGATGGCTCAAGGTTCAGCCCTGCCCCTGCCCCCAGCTCTTGGAGAACATGTACAACATGAGCTTCCACGCTGGAAACCTAACACTGCAGTTCAACAGCAGCGGGGATGTGTACATGGAGTACGAACTGAAGCTGTGGGTGTGGCAAAAACCCACACCCGAGCTCCGCACGGTGGGCACCTACAATGGCAGTCTTCAGCTAATGCCCTCAAAAATGAGCTGGCACACACCAGACAAACGGGTGAGTGCTAGCAATGTGCATCCCATCCACACAGCAGCCCCCATGGCCCAGCAAAGCTTGGGGTTTGTGGGGAGCTGTCTGGGTTTGGCCAAGTCGAATCCAATGTTGAGGCCTCACCCAGATGCCAGTGTCCCAGTGCTCACAGCAGTGCAAGGACGGCCAGGTACGTCGAGCAAAGGGCTTCCACTCCTGCTGCTACGACTGTGTGGACTGCAAGGCAGGCAGCTACCGGAAGAAGCCAGGTGAGCCACCTTCCCAGTGGGCAGCCTGCAGGAGCACACAAGCTGGGGAGGGACCCCACCAAGGCCAGAGCCCCTCAGCATCCCTCTCCTCTCCTGCAGATGACATCACCTGCACGTCATGTGAGGAGCACCAGTGGTCCCCGGAACGGAGTACAAGCTGCCTCCCCCGTAGGCCCCGGTTCCTGGCATGGGGGGAGCCAGTAGTGTTGCTGCTGCTCTTGCTGCTGTGCCTGACCCTGAGCCTGGTGCTGGCAGCCCTTGGGCTCTTCATTTGCCATCATAACAGCCCACTGGTTCAGGCCTCAGGTGGGCCAATGGCCTGCTTCGGCCTGGCCTGCCTGGGCCTTGTCTGCCTTAGTGTCCTCTTATTCCCTGGACGGCCTAGCTCTGCTAGCTGCCTGGCCCAGCAACCACTGTCCCACCTCCCACTCACAGGCTGCCTGAGCACACTCTTCCTACAGGCAGCTGAGACCTTCGCGGAATCAGAGCTGTCACCCAGCTGGGGGCACTGGCTGCATGGCCACCTGCAGGGGTACTGGGCCTGGCTGGGAGTGCTGCTGGCTGTCCTGACAGAGGCAGCACTGTGCACCTGGTACCTGGTGGCCTTCTCGCCAGATGTAGTTACAAACTGGCAAGAGCTACCTACAGAGGCATTGGTGCACTGCCGCGTGCGCTCCTGGATCAGCTTTGGCCTGGTGCATGCCACCAATGCCACATTAGCCTTCCTCTGCTTCCTGAGCACCTTTCTGGTACAAAGTCGGCCTGGCCGCTACAACCGTGCCCGCGGCCTCACATTTGCTATGCTGGCCTATTTCATAACCTGGATCTCCTTCGTGCCCCTCCTGGCCAATGTGCAGATTGTCTACCAGCCCGCTGTGCAGATGGGTGCCATTCTCCTCTGTGCCCTGGGCATCCTGGCCACCTTCCATCTGCCCAAGTGCTACCTGCTACTGTGGCAGCCAAAGCTCAACACCCCTGAGTTCTTCCTGGGAAGAGGTCCAAGGGATGACAGGAGCAGAGTTGGCAATGGGAGTGGAGAGGAGGGGACTCAGGGAAAAACTAACTGACCTGTGACCTCACTCTCAGTGAACCCAGACCTAGTTGAGAACCCTCCAAGCCAGCAACCCCCAGATTGACCCTCCTACTGAGATCCTCCAGCTCCAGATTCTGCCCCAAGTTTTTTGCTGGCCATAACCCCAGTGACCCCTCCAGGCCTGTAGCTTTCAGGATGACCCAGACCCAGTGATCCAGAAGGAAGCCCATGGTAGGTGCCTCAGAGATCCTGTAGCCCACTCAGTAAACTCAGGGAAGGAATATGCCCAGGTGTATGCCCAGGACAGGACGAGAGTGGCCAGTAGGACCGAGACCTGCTCAAGGCTGGAGGGGGTGGCACCCAGCTTCCTTCTCTCTCCCTGGCCTAGTAGGAGCAAGGAATAAGGGGTTGTGATCGCTACCAGCACCGCGGACAGAGCCCAGGCAGATGTAGGGGTCAGCACCATGGCCAGCACCCAGCCACGGGACCCCTGAAGCCACATGCCAGCACCACGGACAGAAAATTGCTGGCAAGACCCTGCTGCCCGCCAGCACCCGGGACAGAGCCTGAGTTGGCTCGAAGAAGAGCACCTGGCCAGGCCTGGAGCAGGGCCTTGGGTCAGAAACCCCGGCCTTCCATGCCTCAGTCTCCTAAGGCAGCCTGAGGGTAGAATGGATACAGGTCACAAGTCAGTCCCATAAAATTAAACGCTTTTTAGTGTTTAAAATAGCATTTACACAGAAGCAGCTCTATGTTGACTACCCAGATGCTCAGACTTTGATACAGTATCTACAGCACAGACATGAGGCTGCAGGTACCAGGGAGTCAGCAGCTTGTACAGGTGGGCAGTCGCTCAAGGAAAGTGAGGACAGCCCACGCTGACCTCCCATCTTCTCAAGACCCCCATCCCTGCAGCAGCTGTGCACATCAGTGCCCCTAGATCCTGTAAGGGGTCACATTCCCCTCCTTTCTGTAAGCTGAGACATGATGGGAGGATGCAGGACCCCTCTCTGCCTCCCCAACTGACCCATACTCCAAATTTGTGTTCCTCACATGTGCTCTGAGACTCACAGGGGAGGGGCAAACATGCAAACTGCTCCAGTTGGGTAGGGAGAGGGAATGGCTGACGGCCTCACCACTCCCAGAGCACACAGGCCAGACAATAAATAAATAAATTAGATCCCCACTCTGGGCAGCCACAGAGGGATTTGGGGCTCTGATTCCACCACCCCCCCCACGAGGCCTCCCTGCCTGGGTCAGAGGGGCAGTGCCTGTGAGCTGAGTGAAGAGGGGGTGCCGGTCTGATTCAGTCTGGGGTCCTGGGGCACATGTCTGTGGGAGATGGGTTCAGCATGGAGCCAAGAGGGTCTTTCTCATCCTAGAGGGGTCACCTCCTAACAAAGGAGGGGCTGGGGAGTCCTGAGGCTCACATTGCCTGGGACAGAGTGGAGTCCCTCCCCTCAATAGTCTGTAGGAACGCAGCCTGCTCTGAGGTCAGGGAAGACCCCAGGAGCAGAAGGGTTGCCAAGTCCAGATCACAGTGGTTGGGCTGCCCTGGTCCCTCACCTCCAGCCTGCTCCACTGCCCACCCAGGCCTGGACCCCCACAAGCTGGTCTATCCCAAGCTGGCCACCACTATGGCAAGCCCATAAGAGTGCCAGGCAAGGTGGGACCCCTGCCCCCCTCTCCCACTGGTGGGAGTGAAGGCACCCACTTTCAGTCACATGATATCCACAAAGAACTCACAGGGGTTCCCCATGGCCTTCTGGAAGGACTGACGGCTGCCTGTCAATTCTGGGGGGACAGCAGCCAGCTCCCGGACAGGTGGTCCCCCGGGTGGTCCACCCACCACTGCATAGGTCTTAGTTAGTGGGTGCAGGGTAGGGAGCCCTGGGGCAGCAGTTGAGGCCTGGCTGCGTGGGCTGCTGCCACGGCTAAGCTGGCTGGCCGGGCGCTCCCGCCAGCCACTGCCACCTGTCCCGCTTGGCACTGTGTGGTCTGATTCACTGCCACTGCCTCCAGCTCCAGCTGCTCGGCGCTCTTTCTCGCGGCCCGGGGTCCGACGGCTGCTCCGGGTGGACCCGCTGCTTTTGCTCCCTGGGGGCAGGAGAAGGAGAGCAGTTCATGCCAGGCCTCAGCACTTTTAGGACAACTGGCCACAGCTAGGCAACCAGGGGCAGGTGTGAAAGGGAGCAGCCATGCAGACACAAGGGCCAAGCCAGCACCACCCAGAGAAGCAAGAGAGCTGCAGTAAGCATGGCAGGCAGGGACAGCTCGGTGACCCACACCTCACCCCAAATGCTTGAACCAAAGGCCTGGTCTTGCAGCTGAAGAATGAGGCGTCAGTGAAGGCCCCCACGTGCTCAGTGTTCCCGTTAGCCATCCTGGCCTCCCCACCCAAAGACCCATTGTCCACCCGACCCTGGGACCCTGGCCAGCTACTCGACTGAGCCCCTGTCTTGGGCTCTCAGGAAGTGGTGGGAACCTGAGGCTGGCTGGGGACATGCCAAGAGGGACGCCGGGTGGGACCCTGGCTTACCGGCCCCGAGGGTCCACTCCGCTAGTCCTTCAGTCTAAGGCTTGCTCAGCACAAAGCAAGGGATAGCATGAGTTACATTCCAGATACAGTCCAGCCACCCGCACCCACTGCCAGCCAGTCTGACTGTGGGTCAGGTTGGGGTTGGGTGGGGATAAGGGACTGTCCAGGGTCCACAGACACCCAACATAGCTCCTCCCAGTTACCTCTTCTCTCTCTCCCATTCTTCCTTGGGTTCCCTAGGACCTCTGCCCAAACCCTGCAAGCACACTCACTGGCCTCTCTGGGCCCCACTGGGCCTCGGGCCTCTGCTGCAATAAGTCACCTACCTCCTCAGGGGTGCCTCACAATCTCCCAGCCTCCACATATCCCAGCCTGCTCATGTTGCTCCCTGCTGGGCTGCAGGCACCACCAGGGGAAGGGAATCTGGAGAGTGACCCCACTCGATGCCCTTAGCCACTCTACTCCCATTCTTGTCACATTCTTTTGCCACACAGCTTCCTGGCTGCTTGCTTCACCAGCTGGAAAACCAGCCCTCACTCACACCATGATCAACCCAGGTGAGGGGTCTAGACTGTCCCTACATCAGACTCTCCCCTGTCCCTTTCCTCACACACCAGCTCTCTGATCCCTCTGACACACCCCCTTCTAGAGGAGCTCACCCAGGGCCCAAGCACACAGCAGGAGTGCATGGGGCAGCAGCAGAGGCAGGAGAGGGCCAGGTGGCAGGGATGGGCCAGGTGGCAGGGGTGACAGGGGCAGTAGGGCAGTGGAGGTCGGCCTAACTCTCACCTTCGCTCTGCTGACTCCCAGTGCTGCCACTGCCATAGCTGAAGCCGGGGTCCTGGTAGGCAGGCGGGAAGCAGGGTGGGGGCCCTGGGTACTGGTAGGGGTAGCCTTGACCCAGGGGCCAGGGGGCAGCTGGGTGGGGCAATGGAGCCAGTGTGTCTTGATCTGAGGCTCCACTGGAGCCACTGTTGAGGTTCAGAGCTGCGAGATCTGGTGGGGAGGGCAGGGCAGTGAGTGCAGAGTAGACGTGTCCTTCCCACACCCTCCCTCCCCACTGCACCTCCCACTCACTGCTGCACAGGTCCCCAAAGACATAGTAGCACTGCTCAGAGAAGGTGATCTTGTTGACCGTGTGCCGCAGGAAGCCGTGCTTCAACATGCTGCTGGCGTACTTCCTGGCCTCCCGTCGCTCCTTGAAGCCCTCCACATGCGTGTACAGCCAGTCCACCACGTCCGCTCCTGGCCGCACCCCAACAGTCAGGCCAACAGAGACCTGGGCCGCCTCACCCAGCTGAGGAGTAGATTTGGCCCTCTTCCCACCCATTCCCAGCCTGCCAGGTGGGACTGACAAGGCCACTGAAATCCACTCACCAATGACGGCATTGGCAATAGTAATCTTGAGCCACATGCGGTCACGGATCTCCAGTCCCGAGTCCGGCAACTGCATGACCCGGACAACAGCACCCATGTCACTCTTCACCGTCAGCGGTGCCTCTTCCAGTTCTGCAAGGCACGGCCACCACCTCCTCCTCAGTCCTTGATGGCTGACAGGCTGAGGCGATCTCCAGGCCTCTGTACATAGCACATATACCTCCCCCTTGGGGACAGTAGGCTCAAGCCTGTTGTAGGATGGACCTCCATGGGATCAGGGAGTGCGTATGGGTGGGGAGTTTATCTCCCACCCTCCCATGCTTACATATGCTTTTTATCAGGATCTTGGGAGCAAACTGAGGTAAGGGCATCCCCACCCTGTAGACCAGAGCCCTATGGAGATATGCCAGGCCTCCTCTCCTCTCCCCTCTTGCCCACCTCTCACACAAGCTCAGGGCTGTTAGTTGTGTTAGCAGCAGGAAAGCAGAGTGGGGGCCACACACACTTGCCTCCCGCCCTTGCTCGATGCACCCCTGGAAGGAGCCCTCCCTGCATCTCCTGCTCCCAATACAGAGAGCGAGTGGGGTCAGGGCCAAGCGAGGTGTGCACCTGTCTGTGTATGTGTCTGTGCAGGGCACTGGGGACAGACATACGCACATCATGGACCCTGGCAACAGCCACATGACCACCAAGGCTGAGGCTGAGGCTAACCCTCGCCCTCCAAGCCTCAGTTTCCTCTAGGGTTCTCCTGAGCTGCCACTTACGTGGAGCGCCGGGCACTGAGCTGGTTAGTGAGGAGGAGCTGGTGCGGGTGACGGCACTGGAGCAGGGGCTCGTACCGTAGCGGGGCAAGGCTCCCGTCAGCGCCGCCGTGTGGGACAGCCAGGCAGCTGGGTCGATGGGTCGCACTGGGTCAGCTAGGTGGTCACACATGTCAACAGACCATGGATGAATGGACATAGTGGGGAGAGCAGAGCAAAGGGGCACAGAAGAGAGAGGCCCTTCAGGAGGGGCCCAGATGCCCTCCAAGTTCTCACCCTGCCTGCCCACCAGGTGGGGTCACTCACCCCTTGGGATAGTGAAGTAGCTCCGGGGGGTTGGGTCCCAGCACTTGGCGACTGTGAGGCTGATGGGCCTATAGGGTGGGCAGGCCAGAGTCAAAGTTCCCACGTGACCTCTTCGGCCCCACACCCCCCAATGCAACCTCTCCTATGCCCTGCCCTCTGGGCACTCCGCCTCACCCTGTCTGGGACACTATCTCCCGTAGCACGCGCACAGCATCGTCGTTGCTCATGTTCTCAAAGTTGACATCGTTCACCTGGGAGGTTTGGGGAGTTAGGGCGTTGGTAGGGTGGGTAGGGGTGCCTCTCTCAGCCCACAGCCCCCTCAGCCCTGCACCTGCAGCAGCATGTCGCCTGGCTCGATGCGGCCATCAGCGGCCACAGCCCCGCCTTTCATGATGGAACCAATGTAGATGCCACCGTCACCCCGGTCGTTGCTCTGGCCCACGATGCTGATGCCCAGGAAGTGGTGCCTCTCTGCAGGAGGAGCAGTGAGCGGACATCCACACCCCACCAAGCCCCCAACCCCACGAACATCAAGGCCTCACCCATGTTGAGCGTGACAGTGATGATATTCAAGGACATGGTGGAGTCGGTGATGCTGCTGAAGGAGGAGGCCTGTGGAGGGATGCCGGATGAGGGGCTGTGGCAGGCAGAGGGCCCCAATCCCTGTCCCACACCTACCCGGTCTGTTTGCCGCAGGCGCTGCTTCCGCCGCCGGCGCTTGTGTTTCCGGATGAGCCGAGATGAGGTGCTCTGCTCAGTGGAGCTGCTTAGTCTGGGGGCAGGGAGTCAAAGGTCAGGGGTGTCAGGAGCATGGATGGGGATGGTCAGGCCCTGCCCCCCATCCTGGCCAGGTTGAATCAGGAAACCACAGGTCCCAGATGCATTTGCTCAGGAGTGGGCTCAGTTCCTAGTGTCCCCAGGTCCCAAGCCTTGTATGTGTGACATGTACACAGATGTTTGCACAGACCCCACACAGATGGCACATGAGGGGACATGAACACATGTAGCCAGCCCAGCCACCTGCACACACACCCACAGACACATGCAGATACACACACACCCCCACACACCGGCTGGTGTTGTCATCCTCATCTGAGTCGATGAAGCTGCTGGACTCCAGCTCGCTACTCAGCACAGTGGATGCGCTGTCCGGAGGCAACCCCAGGTCCCGCCGCCGGTCCCCTCTTGGATGCCCGTTAGTTCGGGCCGCTGTGGGGCAGCAGAGAGGTAGATGACAGTAAGGACACCAGAGATCACAGGCTCAGGGGTAGACTAAGCAGCCTCAAGCCAGGCAGTCTGGGAACTGGCAGGTAGGTAACTATGAGGTCAACAGAGGGGTCTCCTGCAGGGGGTGGGCCCAGAAACCCAGTATCTAAGAGTTTGCAGGGATTTGGGTGGCACCACAGGGCTGTAGGGTACAGGGGCAGGCAGGCATGGCTGGTACCCTCTTCGCGGTTCCGGCGTCGGGCTCGCTCTCGCCGGTGGCTAACCATGGACTCTGTGCCAGTCTCATTGTCCATCCCGTCACGGCTGCTGGCCACATTTGGGCTGTGCCGACAAAAGACAGTAGCTGGGGCAGGCTGGGCTACCAGCATCTCAGATGCCTCCCAACAGGAGCCTTGCTACCCTCCTGCCCATGAGGGCTCTAATAGCTCATCCCTGCTGACTAGCTCTTCCCCTGTCCCGCCCCCTCCAGAGCCCTTACTGGAAGGAGGGAGGCCGGGAGTCCCCAATGCCACCCGTCCTCTCGAGAGGTGGGGGCAGGTCCGTGTGGCTGTCCGTGCCCTGGGACCCTGCATCAGAGTGAGCGCCCTCGGCCAGGACCAGCTGTGGAGGGAAAGGGAGAGCTCAGGATGCCCCAACAGTCAAACATCCTCAGGTCTGGACACAGGTAGCCCCAAGGGCCTCCTGGAGGGGCTGTCCATGAACTCACCCAAGAAACCACACGGCCATTGAAGCAGGGCAGCTTGGCGTTGTCATCGAAGATCTCTTCCTTCACCACTCTGTGGGCAGAAAGGGTCATAAGACCACCTGGGGTCTGACCCATGTGCTCTAAAGATGAGACCCACGCCCCACTAGGGCCTGGACACAGGTGGCCTGTGCCACTGCACATGTCAGGTTCTTTGGCACTCCAGCCCAGCACATCCTCTTCTTGGGGACCCTTATCACTCTCCATTGGGCTGCAGGCCACCCCCACTTCCTGGTCCTCTAGCACTGGGGACAGTGGCTGTGGGCTGTCCGTGGAGGGTCAGCCTAGGGCTCCTATTTACCTCTAGGGTTGGCCCCAGCCATCAGGTGGGTCAGACCAGATGAGAGGCTCCCTAGGGAGGTCTTTGGCTCCCAGCTTCCCTCTCCTTGGCCAGCCCTCATCTCAGACACGGCTATGTGCATAGCCCCAGGCTCCGTCACACTCCTGTCTCCAACCACACACTTTCCCTGCCTGGGATTTCAGTTAGCTCTGGGGCTCAGAAACCATGACCCCCAAAAGCTACCGTTCACTCTCAGTGTTCTACAGGACCAATCTGTAGGATTCCCCACCAGCTGCTCCATCCCTCAGCCCAAACCCAACGAGCACATGGGCTCTACCTTCCATCAATTTCCAGAAGGTCCTTCGACCCTGCCTCACCCTCTCAGCAGCCAGGGGGAGCAAGCCACATGCACCTCCCCAGTCCCAGAAGCCAATGACAAGTTCTCTGCTTTGTGACTGACACCTTATCCACAGGGACCTGGCCACAGGCTCCTATCCCATCCCTCCCTGCTGTATCTCTCTAGCATCCACCCCGCTCAGGCAGCCAGACAGCACAGAGACCTAAAGAGCAGCCTACCACCCCGCTAGCCAGCTCAACCAGTCAGGGAGACAAGGCTGCCCCCATTCACTAGGCCAACCCCAGCTCTCAGGGAGCCATGACTTCCTCCCAGTTTAAGACTTTTGAGGACAGCCAGGAACACAGAACCAGTTGGGCCTGGGAGGACAGTGAGCCACAGCAGTTACATGCACTGACCGACATCCAGACCCTGACTATCTTAATGTAACTCCCTAGTTAGGAGAGCTTGGGGGGGGGCGGCAGAGGGCATGCGGGCACATGCAGAGGGCCAGGGATGACCAGAGTCAGGGGTCAAGAGGGTGAAGACAGTAGCCGGCACAGCTCAGAGGAGGCAGTTGGGCAGGGGAAGATCCCATGGTCTAAGGAGGCAGTATGGCAAGGTGGGCAGGTGCTGTGGCCTTGACACCCCATACTGCAGCTCCTGAGCCTAGGCAGCAGGGCAGGCCTGGACGCCCTGCCCCCTGGCTCCCAGCCCTGCCTAGAACAGTGGGATTTTCCACTCCCAGGACCTGGGCCTAGTGGAGAAATGGGAGCCGAGAGACTGGGCCAGGCCTGGACACACACCTGGCAGGAAGCAGCCTCATGGCTGGCTGGGCCTGATGCCAGGTACAGGGCCACTCTTGCCTGCCAGGGCACCTCAACAGGCAGCAGGCTGCAGGAGGCCCTGGTAAAGCTGGCACCCCACACTCCTACCCAGGGAGCAGAGTGGACAACAAAGTCAGGGTCAGCAGGGAGGGAGAGAGCTCAGGGTCCTGCTGATCCCTCCCCTTATCCCCCCATATCTGGCCACACCACTGAGGTAGACATCCTCAACAGGCAGATGGTCATTTGTCAGGACTGCCCTCCGATACCTGCTGCCCTCACTCAGCAGCCACAGCCCTACAGAGCTGTGCCAGCCTCCCAGGAAGGTCATGAGCTCCACGTCAGTCATTGGCTGAGGAGCTCACAGTGAGAGGCTGTCACCAAGATCCAGGGTGGCCAGGATAAGGTGGGAGAGCTTCCAAGATACCTGGGATTCTGCACCTGCAGCAATGGGCAGAGGCCATAGCGAGCACTTGTCTCTGAGTGACCTGACAACACAGATGCCAGAAAGGACCTCGTCCTCACCGTAGCCCCCAGTACATAGCCGCAGATGGGCTGGCCAGCAGCCTCTCCCATGCCGCACCCAAGCCCCAGCCCTTTCTGACTCACAGGGAGACAGATTAGCAACCCCCAGCACCCACACAGCAGTGCCTGCCTGGCTTCCCCAGAAGGCTCTGCCTCTCTCCCACCACCTGGAGCATCTCTAAACCCCCACTGCTCACCTGGCCAGGGTCTTGAGATGACCCAGAGCTGCCTGAGGTCTTTGTGTTCTCCGCTCTTAAACAGACACCCTCCCAGGGCCCAGAGACTCTGCTCCCTGGGCCCTCATCAACCTGAGGAATTCAAGTCCTCCACCCAGTGTCCTGCCTTCCACCTGGAAGTCCCAGCCAGGCCAGGAGGAAAGTGGGCTAGGCCAGAACAGCAATGAGGGAAGGGATAGGGACCTGCCTGAATCCGAGGGAGGGTCCTGCCCCCTCAAACAGGAGAGCAGGTGCCAAAGCCCCCAGGAGGATGAGCTTGAGCCCTCTGTCAGGTGTACGATGCTGCCCACAATCGGCCAACACAATCTCCCCGGAGGCTCCAGAGTAGGGACAGGGTCTGGAGTAGGCAGAGGCCACAGCCATGCTTGGGAGAAATGCCTCTGACAACCCCGAGCTCCCTTATGTGCCTCCCGGGTGGAAAGGCAGTTTTGGAGTATGGCCACCCAGGGGCACCCCCTGCTGGCATTCTGCCCTGACCTCAGAATTCCTAGCAAGATCCAGGTTAACCTCGAACTTGTGGCTGCTGGGCTCTGCCCGCCACCCCCACAGACCCGCCCCAGGGAGGAATCTACTCTCAGAAGCAGGGCCCTTGGTGCCCAGCATTGCCACAGGCTAAGGTGGACCCTTCAGCGTACCCTCAGGATCCCAGAGGCCACAGTACACCACAGGCCAGCCCCTCCAACTGCACCTCCTCCCTCCCAATTCAGATAAGGAAGTTGGCAGACAGAGCTGGTATGAGACAGGAGGTGCAGCATTACCCTGAACTCTCAAAGAGCCCCATGTGCATTCCCAAGAATTGGGGTCCACGGTGCCCATGGTATTGGTATGGCTGGGCTGCCAGCCCAGGGGCCCATCACCTCACCAGGAGACAGGCATCTGCTCCCAACACTTTATCCCACACTTGACCACTACACTGGCTAGTGCTAAGCCCTTTGGTATTGGCCCATGGTGATGGGCCAGCCCAGGGGCCCATCACCTCACCAGGAGACAGGCATCTGCTCCCAACACTTTATCCCACACTTGACCACTACACTGGCTAGTGCTAAGCCCTTGGGCTTATCTGAACTCCCTTCCCATGCTCAGGTCAGATAGGCTCAAGTGTCCCCACTGAGCCCTTGCTATGAACTGTCATAAGTTACCTGCAAGGACTCTCCCAACCCAGGGAAGTAGGTGGGACTCAGAGAGGCTGAGTTACTGACCCTAGATAGCACAGCCTGGGAGGGCAGAGTAGGAGCTCACCCAGATAGTCTGGGCCAAGCCAAGCACTCACCATCACCTCCAGCAGCTCCCCCACATAGCGCCACCCAGGGCAGGAGAAGCCACTGAGCACCTGTGCCCACAGGCAGGTGGCCCCAGAGACTAGGGCTGTTGGCCCTAATCCAGCCTCAGAGCTGGAGAAGCTGGGGCCACCACCAGGCAATTGAGCTACTAAGTGACAAGTCCGACAGGCCTGGCATCAACTATCCACCCCTGGTAGCAGGAAGTGGGAATAGGGCCCAGCCCAGGGTTTGTGGCTATGCCTGCAACCTCAGGCTCTCTTCCTTACCAGGTAGCCAGCTGTGGTCTGGAACAGAGGCTCAGGGAACCCAGGGCTGGGCCTACAGCATGCTAGGGAAGGAGGTCTAGACTCACTAGGGTACCCACCAGAGCCTCCTGTCTGAAGTCACCCCTCTAATGGGGGGAAGGCCACCCCAGCCATGCCAGGACCCATCTCCCCCTCCCCCAATCTCTAGCTGAAAGTAAGCTTCCAGTTCAGCTCTCACTTGCACTAAACTGTGAGTGACTGACCAGCCCCTCTCATAGGTAATTTACTCCACCAGATAAATTATTCTGTAGAACAGCTAGAGCTTGGAGCTCTACAGGTAGAACTCAAAGGAAAGGAAGGAGGAAACATTGATGAGGGGCTTCTCCCAGGCTCCAGAGGCTACCAGGCCGATAGCAGAGTCAGGGCAAAAGTAAGGTGAGGCTCTTCTATCCTGTCTATTCACTGTCTTTGAGCACCACCCTAGTCCACCTCTTCCCAATCCCGACAGCCTAGCCCAGCCTTGACCTCTGCAGTAGCCCCTGGCTCCCAGCTCTCTCATGAACTCTGCCGTCTCCTGCCCCACATCTTAGCCATTCCCAAGCCTGCCCAAATATCCAAAAGAACTACAACTTCTGTGTCAAGAGCCAGATATGCTTGGTCCAGGGCACCTATGAGTCTTCTAAATCTGGCTAGGCAAGGCCTCCTCGGGGAAGATTTGTAGGGAGCCCCGCTGACTCTGCTCCAGGGCAGTTTCAGTGGGTGCCAGAAGCCAATGACAGGGTCCCACTGAGATGCGCTCCAGAGCACAGTCTACAGGCAGCAATCTTGGGGGTTGAGCATGAGCATGCTCCTTGCTGCACATTCACTAGTGTCATGAGTTTGCGATGAAGAACATTTCTGATTTCAGTACATTTTATTAAAATAGTAAAACAAGTTAAAAACGAAAGCACTGGGGGTGGCAGGTGGCATGGTGGTTAAGGGCTCCCACATGACCGACTATGATTTGAATCCCAGACCTGGCAGCTTGCTTTCTCACTTCTTCTCTCTCTCTCTTTCTCCCTCTCTGGTCAAAGTAAAATAAATTAATAGGGACCAGCAGTGAGCATAATGACTATTTTTTTTAGAGGTTTATGCCATAGGGCACGTGCACTCGCCAGACAGACAGAAAGCGAGAAATCACCCCCAGGAGGGATGGCCACGCCGCAATCCCTTCTCCTCCATTCTCCTCTTGGGATCTTGGGCACGCACGCACATGCGACCGGCGTGAGTTTTAAGCCACCAGGCGTGAGTTTTAAGTCCAGCGACATGTTGCTGGACTCCCACGTAGTCGACAGCGGTTCACGTCCCGGACCCGGGGGCTTATA